CTCAGCGTCTCCCTGGGCTGCTCTTTCTCCCTGGTCTGCTATTACTGTTCCAGATCAGCTGAAAGCGCCGTGGGTCCGGCCCGGGTCCTCCGCCGCTCTGCTCAGCGTCTCCCTGGTCTACAGACCAGGGAGATGCTGAACAGAGCGGTGGAGCACCCGGCAGGACCCGCGCTGCTTCCAGCTGATCTGGAAGCGGCCGTGGGTCCAGCCCCCAGTGCTCCGCCGCTTTGCTCTCGTCTCCCTGGTCTGCTGGCTCTGCCAGCAGACCAGGGAGACGGGGAGCAGCTTTTCTCGCCCCGGAGAAGGCGGGCGGTGGGACCAGGTGTCCCGCTGCTCTAGTTCTCCGGGGCGAGAAATCCCCGTTCGTAACTGCGGATCCGACATAAGTCGGATCCGCGTAACTCGGGGACTGCCTGTATATTCTGAGGATTTGGCCCTCAATACTCTTTACCAGCTGAACAGACAGACTTCACCTGACTAAATGAGAAATTATTTGAGGAAGGAACCCTGTAAAACTATGGAGAAGCATTCTTAAATCAGCTGTGACTCTTGACATAACTAGTAGTCAAGATTTATGCAAAAAAAACAAAACAAAACAAAAACCCACACCCCCCCCCCCACAAAAATTAAACCAAACCTTTTCAGCCTTTTTTTTCTTCTTTTAAGAAGGAGGTGTTTATCCTTACAATACTCTGAATATGACTCAACAGATCATCTTCTGGAAAGTAGAGTTATAGCTTACTTCAATACCAAAATCAGTTTTCAGTATTGAAGTAGGTCCTTTTTAGTACTGTTCGTAGGTCCAAAACATTGACGAGACTGTGTAGATTTCACTTGCTTTGCACCAGAAATCTTTACTAAGTTTTCATTGGTTACACTTGTGCAAGCCTACTGAGGACAATGAGATTTTTGCAATGTCACTTGGGAATGTGGCTTGCAACTTTTACTATTAGGCAAATGAACACTCTGCTTCATTTTTGGATTACAGAATGAGTTTGCAGGGCTGATGATGAGAAGAAAAAGAAAGAGCATTTGGGTCAAGAAAAGCAAGCTGGGTGAAAATCTATGATTTTCATTAATAACAAAATCTAAGACATCTGAAACTGCCATACATGTCTAACCAAAATATTTCCCCTCTCTAATTGCAATCAGCATCTTTTATTAAAAAGAAATGTAGATAAAGTCACAGTTCATAAAATGAGTAATTACATTTTATTATATCTTCTATAATCTGTTTAAATAACAATCTTGGAATCAAAAGGCTGCGTTTACTCACTTGGGAAGAATGTAAGTCTGCGAAGTGACCTTAAAGCTACGTCTCTGGGTGGAGCCAACAGCCAGCAAGTAAAAACCTCACTCCTAGAAAGACTTGCACAGAGCCAGACATTTCAGGAGGTACCAGATACTAGAGCAATTAATTCAAGTCTCTACTATACCTAAATGTTAAGGCAGTTGGTTCTGCACCAGCTGCACATTAAAAACAAGGAAAAGGTATTTCTGTATTATAAAATGACAACTAATTCTGAGTGAAATATGCAAATAAATAACCTACCGTCCAGTGATGTGTTCTTTTATCCTTATAAAAGCTATAGCTTCTTCTTTGTACAGGAACTATAGTCAAGTCTTTCCCACCTGATTTGTCAAAATTCTGCTTGGTCCATTCTTTTTCAAAGTCCTGTTTCAAAGGAATATATAAAAATACCACTAAAAATGTTTATTTTCTTCAAATAAGAGAACTGCAGAGAAAGCTCAAAGTTAGTTCCCAAAGCAGAAAAAACAGGGAAGACTAACTGAAAAGCAGAAAAACGTAATTCTATGAATATTTATATGGGCACAGTGGCATTGGAACAATTTTTATAGTGTGGATGCTGAAAGCCATTTCACAAAATGTAAACCCAGTTCAGCGCCTCTAGCATCAATAGTTGCAACAGGTCTGAATGAGCAAGTGATGCACATTAATTCCTCATTAATGGGGGGAGAATGACAAAGCAGGAGGGAAGGTGCTAGCTTGAGACTCAGGGGATCCAGGTTCAAATCCCTTCCACTGCAATAGGTTCTTTAACATTGAGACAGACATTGGAGACAGATTTGTTGAGAGTCTCTGGCTTAAGTTAAAAGGGGTAAAAACAAGGGTGATGTCATGCTAGGGGTCTACTATAGACCACCTACCCAGCCAGAAGAGGTGGATGAGATTTTTAAACAACTAATGAAATCATCCAAAGCACAGAATTTGGTGGTGATGGGAGATTTCAATTATCCAGACATATGTTGGGAAACTAACACAACAGGGCACAAGTTATCCAATAAGTTCTTGGATTGCATTGGGGACAATTTCTTATTTCCAAAGATTGAGAAAGCTAATAGAGGTGGAGGAAGCTGTTCTACATTTCATTTTAACAAATAGGGAGGAACTGGTTGAAAATTTTAAAGTGGAAGGCAGCTTAGGTGAAAGTGACCATGAAACCATATAGTTCAAGATTCTAAGGAATAGTGAAGGGAGAACAGCAACATAAAGACAAGGGATTTTAGGAAGGCACATGTTAGTAAACTCAGAGAATGGATAGATAAGGTCCCATAGGAAGCAAGACTAAGAGGAAAAACAACTGAAGACAGTTGGCACTTGTTCAAAGGGCATTACTGAGAGCCCAAAAGCAAACTATTCCACTGCATAAGAAAGCTAAAAAATATGGCAAGAGACCACCTTAGCCCAAGATCTCACCTGATCTAAAAATCAAAAAAGAGTTGCATAAAAAGTGGAAACTAGATCAAATTACAAAGGATGAATATAAGCAAATAACTCAAGTATGGAGGGGCAAGATTAGAAAGGCAAAGGCATATAACAAGCTCAAACTAGCTAGAGACACAAAGGGTACGTCTAGAATGGCAAGATTTTGCCAGCTGTCTACACTGACCGCTTGAATTTGCGCAAGAGCACTGACTTTGTAATGTACAAAATCAGTGCTTCTTGCGCAAATACTTTCACGCTCCCACTCAGGGATACACCTTCTTGCGCAAGAATACTTGCGCAAGAGGGCCAGTGTAGACAGGCACCTTAATTTTTTGCGCAATAAAGCCCAATGGCTAAAATGGCCATCGGAGCTTCCTTGCGCAAAAGCGTGTCTAGATTGACACGGATGATTTTGCACAAAAGCATCCTTGCCAATCTAGACATTCTTTTGCGGAAATACGTTTAATGGAAAAACTTTTCCGTTAAAAGTATTTCCGCAAAATCATGCCAGTCTAGACGTAGCCAAAGGGTAACAAGAAAATGCTCTCAGAGAGCTCACCTAGACTATGTGGAAGATTCAAAAGAGGATATGCAAATTCCACAGTAATTTACATATCTTCTTCCAATCTCACTTTTGAAAGCAGAGCTTCGAAAGTGAAAGTAATCAAGATGCTTTTTTTCCCCCAGCAAACCCCGCCCTTTTTCAAAAAGCTGCTTTTCCTGAAATGTGCATATCCGCTTTCGAATCTTCCTCGTAGTTTAGATGAGCCCAAAGAGTAGTTATAAATGATTCACAGTCATGCTAGAAGGACATAACGAGTGAGGTTCCACCGGGGTCTGTTTTAGGACTGATTCCTTTCAATATTTTCATCAACGATTTAGATATCAGAATAGAGAATATGCTTATTAAGTTTGCTGAGGATACCAAGCTAGGAAGGTTTGCAAGTGCTTTGGAGGATAAGGTCATAATAAAATGATCGGGACAAACTGGAGAAATCGTCCAAGGTAAATAGGATGAAGTTTAATAAGGACAAATTCAGAAGTACTTCACTTAGGAAGGAATAATCCATTTCACATATACAGAATGGGAAGTGGCTGTCTAGGAAGGAGTACAACAGAAAGGAATCTTTGGGTCCTAGTGGACCACAAGCTAAATATGAATCAGCAATGTGACACCTTTGCAAAAAAAGCAACTGTGATTCTGGGATGCATTAACAGGAACGTTGTGAACAAGACACAAGAAGTCATTCTTCCACTCTACTCTGCGCTGATTAGGTCTCAACTGCAGTATTGTGTCTAGTTCTGGGCACCACATTTCAAGAACGACGTAAAGGCAGTAGAGAGAGCCCAGAGAAGAGCAATAAAAATTATTAAAAGTCTAGAAAACTTGATCTGTGAGGGAAGACAGAAAGAATTGGGCTTGTTTAATTATAAAAGACTGATAGGGCACATAACAGCAGTTTTCAAGTATCTAAAAAGGTGTCACAAGGTGGAGAGAGAAAAATTGTTCTCCTTGGCCTCTGAGGGTAGGACAAGAAGCAGTGGGCTTAAAGCAATTGAAGCAAGGAAGGTTTAGGTTGGACATTAGGAAAATCTTCCTAACCGTCAGGGTGGTGAAACACTGGACTAAATTGTTTAGGGAGGTTGTGGAATCTCCATCTGTGGAGATATTTAAGAGCAGGTTAGATAGACATCTATCAGGGATGGTCTCGATCAGGAGTCGGCAATGTATGTATGGCATGTGTGCTGTAAGTGGCACATGAGCCCATTTTGAATGGCATGCGCAATCTGCAGTGGGAGTGTAGTCCCCACCCTTCCTCACACAGGAGAGAGCCCTCACAACTGTGAGACTTGGAGCACTAGCTCCAGCTTCTGGGTGCATGGAGGCAAGGGAGGTGAAGAAAGCTCCAACCAGACCCAGACCCAGCTCCCCACCCACTGGGCAGCAAAAGGCCCCTGCACAGAGCTGAGACAGCCGCAGCCCAGGATTGAGGCCACACTTCCCTGTCCCAGCCCCGCCAGCATGCAGGGAGGCCTGGTTAAGAAGAAAGTAATGGGGTAGGCGAGTCCACCTCTAGTGCCCCTGAGAGCTGCCCCAACTCCCCATCCCTGCCACAGGGACCCCACACAGAGCTTGGATCCGCCCTGTCCCCCATGGGAGGTGTGGAGGAGTGGGGACCAGAAGCGGGGAAAGCAGGGGCCAAGATGAGGAGGCAATGGAGGATTGGGGACTGGTATGTGATGGAGTCAGACTCAGAGATAATGGGATCTGGAGTCACATCTGCTTGCCCTTCCCCACAAGCAAGGCTATGCAAGAAGCAGAGCCCGGGAACTGCACACAGCTTGACCCATGACAGGGAGTGGGGCACAGACAGATGGACAGAGCATAAGCCCTGGGCCAACGTGGGGGGAGGAGATAGGCCTGGCTTGCTCTCAGGGAGCTCAAGGATGCCCAGGTCAGTCCATTGCTCTGAAATCACTCCCTGCTCTAACAAACTAGACATCCCGCCCCCAGCTGGGGACAGAACATCAACCCCTTTAGCATCACATTAGGAAACCAAGGTCAGCGTCAACCAACAGTTCTTCCTGAAACCCACTAAACTGCGTCATGCTGCTTTTACACAGCTCTACTCCAGAGATGGCTGCATCTCAGCACTGAGCAGGGGATCCCTGTCCCACTCCAGGGCCAGCTGCTTCTCTGCACCAGGTAAGAGATTCCTGTATAACCGGCCCTAGTGTCAATGTTGCACAGTTCCTGGCAGTCTCTTAGTCTGTGAAGTATCCTGAGAATCCTGCTGTGGTGGGATGCTGGGAACCAACATTTCTGGCAGGGTAAATAAACTGGATGGGCATGGGAGTGGGGATCCCAGGAGCTACTCACTCCTTTCTCCACCCTACTGGGGGAACGGCAGAGCAGTGACACTTTCCAGAGGCTTTTCCTGCTGCAACAAGATGCAAAGTCAGGTAAGTGTCCCTCCTCATGTCCAGATTCCTGCACTCTAATCCCCCTCACTCACTCCCCTACCTTGGCAAGATCCCAAACCCCCAGCTTGCTCCTACTACACCCTCACTTGCTCCTGCACCCTCCCCTTCCAGCCACACATTGTACTCCCCTTTGCTCTTGCTCCCTCCCTCCTGGCCAGACACCCTATTCCCATCCAGACTCGCACCCTCACTCTCTCCTGCATCCCACCTCCCGCTCAGATCCTTCACACCCATCCCTTTCACTGGCAGCCCTTTCCCTTCACTCTGAACCCCTCATTTTTGTTCACACCCCAGAGCCTAAGGGGGTCCACAAAATCCACTAACTCCAGAACCCCAAAAAAGTAAATCTGGCCTATGAAAAGCCCTGAACCTCAGTCCTCCCTATCCTTTCCTCTCACCTCATGGGGCTGAAGCACCAGAGGACTGAGCTGTCTCAATTGGAGGCTACATCAGTGAGGGTTGGGGGTTTTTTGAAAGAATTTTTTTGCTTCTCTCTTATGTAGTGCTAAACTGATTTTTCTATGGGTCAGTGGCCTTCAACCCAAAAAAAGGTTCCTTACCCTTGCCATAAATAAAGAAAACACTGAAACCTTTTGTGTTGAACATAAATTAATAGTTTACTTGATTTAAGATATTTGATTCACTAACCTGAGAAAGTTAAAATGCTTAATCTGGTTAAATAATTTAAATTAAACCATTCGCCTTAGCAGCAGCACTAGCAAAATGGCTTGGGCGTAATTATGTAATTAAGGGTGAGTTTCCATTAGCAACTGGTGGTCGGTGGAAAGATTTGCATGAGCCACGTGGTCCACGGACCAAAAAGTTTGAGAACCATTGTGCCAGAAGATGAGTGCTGCCTGGAATGTGGCTCTGGGGCTGGGCAGTGCCGGAGGCAGCTGAGGGAAGAGGAAAACACATAAGAGCACTCTCTGCCCCAAAGCCACATTGGCTTCTGGGTGTCTGGGTCTCTGGCAGGAAGGCAAGGGCACTACAGACCAGAGCCCCCACAGAACCCCGCCCCTAGCAGGGCTGGATGCTCAGGGTTATCCACCTACCCCTACCCACTCCTCACCCATTTCCCTGATACACACATACACCCCACACAAGCCCATGCTGGCAATCCAGCACTGCACTCTCCACAAGATTGGAGCCGGAGCCAGCACCAGCTTCCTGCGGGCAGGGGGAAGCTCCGTGCCACATCTAGCTTCCAGGGAAATACGCGTGCTGCTCCTCCCCTCCATACAGGAAAAGCCGAAGTAGAGCCCAGGGCAGGAAACTAAGTGGGGCACACAGTGGAGAGAGCCCCTCCTTCCAGGACAGGAGGGTTAAATCTTGGCACGCCACTTCGGAAAGATTGTCAACCCCTGATCTAGACAGTGCTCGGTCCTGCCATTAGAGTGGGAGATTGGACTTGATAACCTCTCAAATTCCTTTCCAATTATAGTATTCTATGATTTTGTTAGGAGAACCCTTCATAGAGTTTCCTCTGCCAACACTTAGAATACAGCAGACTACAAAAGTGGTAGATAGAGAAGAGATTAGGAGAGGGCAAGTAGCAACACATCAATAAAAAAGTTTTTCTCTTCAATGAATCAAAAACCCAGCTCAGCTGAGATGCCAATTCAAAACAAGTCACATTTCCTAATTTATAAAGTTGTGAACATAAATATTTAACTACTAGTGCCTATAGCATTAAGAATGTAATTTATAAACAATACTTCTACATCAAATGAAAGCTGTAGTTTAATATGATTAGTAAGTAATTTGCAACTTTTAAAAAGATGCTATACAGGCAGTCCCCAGATTACATACAAGATAGGGACTGTAGGTTTGTTCTTAAGTTGTATTTGTATGTAAGTCTGAACTGGTACATATTTTGGGGGGGGACTGGGAGCTGGAGTTAAGTGGAAAAGACCCTCATTCTCATACAACTTCCTTATTCTAAGAAAAACACATATTGTTTTGATATGAAGGTTTTTTTGGTTGATATTTTAATTAAAAATTGATCATAACTTTCAGTGTTTCATGCTATATCCAAATCTTCCTTTTGGGGTACCTGAAAAATCCCAGTTATTCATTTAATAGTCAGAATCTTTGTTTTTTATAACTAAAAAAAAGTTTATTTAATGCATATTACTGTTCCAAATAGAATTTGCTACAGATGGTTCAGTGAAATGGGTATTAAGTGTAATCAATAGTCATTGGAGAGCACAGTGAAATATTGATACAATCAAAGCTGTTGTTGTATTCTGCTGAGCAGAAAATGGAAATCCCTTCCTGTGAAGTGTATGTGTGAATCTATCCACAGGATTAATTTTAAAGAAAAATTCTGTGTTGGGAACAGGAGTTTAGCCCCAGATGGGTCCTCATTGTCCACTCACCCACTTTGCAACCAGACCCATCCCCTCAGGGCTTCCCCTGCTCCGCTCCAGCCAGTGTGTGGGGTTGGGGCTTATCCCCTCTTCCCTTCTGTCCTGCTCCTCCCCATTCTTGCCCACCCACACCACTGGGTAATTTTTCAGCTTCACCTCTGCCAGGCTGGAAGGGACTTGTTAATTTCACGTGACGCTAACAAGATACTTGTAGCTCTAGTGCTGAAGAGGTCCATTCCCTTTAGTTCATTCCCAGCTTCTGACAAATAGAGACTAGAGACATCATCCCTGCCCATCCTGGCTAATAGCCATTGATGGACTCTATTGACATGTTGGGCTTTGGATCAAGCCCTAAATTCAGAAGAATTAAAACCAAACCCCTAGGGGAAATCCTGACTCCAATGAAGTTAACTGGAGAATTGGTGTTGTTTTTAGAATCACTACCTGAGAGGGAAGAGTTGCTTTTTACTAATGCTTCAATCCATACTATGAAAATAAATTGAACAGAGCACTTTCATCAGAAGAGCCATATAAAATACTATTGGCTCCTTAAGGAAATATCCCCGTAAGGTGTAAAACTATGATTTTTTACATTAAAAGAGAAAGGAAGCAAGAAGAATATAAAGGCCAAATCCTCACCTGTCATACACTTATACTGGTACCAATATCAGCAGATTTGCACCAGGTAAGAGTCTGACTCAAACACAGAGGCAGTAAAATGAAAAGTAATCATGACAAAATATCTTCATCACTTTCACAATTATAAGAGGTGCTCTATCAAATGCTACTTTATAAATACCTTTTTGTCTTCATGGGAGAAAGATTCCTTTTTCAGTGGATTTTCTTCACTTTCCAATGGCAAGCTTTGCCTAGATTGGTGCTGGTCCCTTCTTTCTTTTGCTTCTTGCACCTGAGGAATGCTGCTTCTTGCTTTAGCAGATCGTCTCTTTTCTGAGTACGATCGTTTTAAATCTGGCAGTGCATTTCCAAAACCAAATGTATAGTCATTCCATTCAACTTTGCTCTTTCTATAAGAAAAGTCATTTTCATATGAGGTTCTGTTTGTATTCTCTTTGTTCTTATTTACAGAGCTCCTCGTTACATTTTTGTGCCAGTCATTGTCCACAGACATCTCTGGGAATTGCTGTTTTGTGAACAAAGTATTCTTTAATAAGCTACCACCACCCTCAGAGGAAGAATTAGAAGGCAAATTGACTTTCAGTTTTTGGTCCACACTAACAGAATTTGCAGGCTGTGCCTTGTTATTTGTATACTTCACACTTTGGTGCCTTGATGTTAAATGTTCTCCTTGTTCCTCATCAATAATAAATGTTTTTTTTCTGGTATCAGTACGCTCAGCTGATGAATTTATAGGTTTGTCTGAAAGTGAACTAGGCTTTCCCCAGTGGGGAGGACTAAATTTTCTATCTTTGGACTTCTGCTTACTCCATTCTTGGCTATACGACTCCAATTTCTCTTTGCTGTTTTCATGTAGAGTTAAGTTCTCAGGCCTGTGGTGTTTTTCTGCACCGGTACCTTGTTTCAGAATACTAGTAGATTGATCCAAGTCCTTCCAATCTTTCCAGTTATAACTGTGTAGGGTTTTATCAGTCACATTCCTTTTGTACTTTGACTTCTCCCAATAAAACATACTTTGATCATCAGAGAACGAGTCATCTTTTTTTTCTTGAATGTTACTGGCCTTCAAGGATTCCTTTTTATATTCTGCCATAAGAGCATCAATATCAAGAACTCTAAATCTATACTTATCTTCAGTCTTCACTCTGAACACATCACGACTGTTTTCCCCAGACTTCTTTTGTGTAGGCAGTTTACTGTCTTTGTGTAAATCACTGGAGTATAGTGTGGATTTTGGCTCATAGTATGAGGAGACTTTTCCTCGAAAATCTTTAAAGTCAGTTTGAATAGTATTTTCCAGGTCCTGTTTTAAGAGGAAAGCATCCACATCTATAATTTTCTCTCTAGCATGATCCAGCCCTCTCTCACAAGACCTACTGTTATCATCCTCTCCAAGAACTAGATGAGTTTTTTTTAAATTTAGAATATCTTGTTCTTCATCTTTAGCCCAATTCTTGTTAACACATGCTTCTAGGGAATCATCTTTACAATGAGTACTCAGTACATTTTTATAGGGTTGCTGAGATGTAAGATTGGACCTTCTGGAAGAACCAGAATTCAGGTTAATTGGTGCACTTTCAATCTCTGTGGTAATCTGGTTATTTTCATTTGCATTAACTGTACTAAGAGAGCTTTTTTCTTTTTTGTTATCAGGAATCTGATATGTAACTGCAAAATAAGTTGCCTTTGGCTCTAAGGGTGAAACCTGCTTCTTCAAATAATCATCAGGACTGACTGAAACTGTTTGGTTCTCCTCCTTTGATTCTATCCCATCTTTGTTTCTTTTACTTCTATTCTTTATTGCACCTTCATCAAATTGCAATGAATCTGTTCGAAGCATTTTGATACTCTCTTGAGTTAGCAGATTAACTTCTTCTAGCTTAGGATAGTTCTGAGGCAAGGTCTTCCTTCGCCATCTTTCTGCAATTTTAATGTCAGAAACACTACTACTGGTTCTTCTAATTTTTTCTTCTGGCTCTACTAATCGCAGTTTTGTTCTTTCACGTTCAAGAACAGCAACATTAAAGCCTAACTCTTTTCTTACACATTTTGAGTCTGGATATTTCCTTAATCCAAAACCGCTGGATTTCTCTTTATCAGCAGTTACTTCTGTGCTAGGATGCTGGTTCATAGAGGGTTTACACAACTGGCTTTTTCCAGACACTGTAATCTGACTCTGATGTTTATTGGCACCAGTTGAAATCACATCTTGACCCAAGTCAGCTATGGATTCATAGCCACCTTTTCTAAATGGTTTTATACTAGCTCTTTCAGAAAAGTATTTAGTCATACTAGAGCTCTCTATTTTATCTGAGAAAGATATTTCATTTTTCTCACTTTGCATTTCAGGATGCAGTTTTGCCATTTTTTCATTTGCTGATCTCACATCCTTACTTTTGTTTGTAGCAAAAGATGTTCTCTCAGTTACAAACACCTGTTCAGTCTGATTTTTATTCAACTCTGTAATTTGCTCATTGAAAGTACCTTTGTTGTGAAAGATATCTTTAGATTCTCTAAAAGTAAACTTTTTAGTGCATGTTTCCAACATGTCTTTAGTTTCTGAAATAAAACTACCCTCTTGCAATGGGTCAGTTTTATTTTCTAGCTCACACAGCTGATCAACATGTAAGACATCCCCATCAGGTTTTTTCTTCTCTTTCACAGATGATTTTCTAGTTCTGAGTGTCACAGCCTTATCTTCCGGAACTATTGTAATAGCTTCACTAAGTGCTCTTTCACCAAAAGTCTGAATGATTTCATATCTTGGCTCTATTCGTTGGTAAATTAGAGAGTCCTCTATATTCTTTGGAGTGGACTTTTCACATGAAGAATATTCTTCCACTGGAACTGCATGGGCAAGTCTCTTGTCTTCATTTAGAGAAATTGTTTTCCCATATTTTTTAGCATCTGCTACATATCCTGACACATCAGACTGACTGTGATACTCTCTTTTTGAACTAGTTTTCTCCTCTGATTCTTTTTCCATCCAAGATCTTCTATTATGCTCTGATAATGTCGCAACATCATATTTGCCTTCAAATTCATTAGTCAGCTTTCGTGTAGGATCAATTCCAGAGTGACCAGCAGCAACAGTATGCCTCTGAACATTGTGATCAAACATGGTGGCTCTGACAGTTTTAAAATGTGTCTTTTCTGCAGGAGTGGTGGGTTTTAATTTTTTTTCAGGGTTACACATGGCTGACACAGAATTTTCATTCGGCAAAGAGAAATTTTCTCTGAGAAAGCTTATTTTTCTTTCAATCTGACCAGATTTCTCTAATATTTTTACTGTCTGTTGTGGTTTCCACTGATTACCAACAGCACAGGACTCACTACAAGCTGTTCCAGGAGGAGGCTTCATCTCCTTACTCTTAAACAAAACAAACAAACAAAGCATCAACAATTAGAAGTTTAGTTTAAAAAAAAAATAGATGAATTGCAACATATTATCTAGTATGTATTATACGCATAGGTACATGTACACACACACACACACACACACACACACACACACCCACACACACTTATTTTTCTTTCCATAATCTCATT